AATTTTTTAATGGAATGTCACATGTTTCTTAAACCTGCAGCCACAAACGTTTGACACCTTAAATGTAAACACTTCTGAAATTATTAAGTAGTTATTCATCCACATAAGAAACATGTTGTTCTGTGACATGTGGTTTCCAACATCATAAACTATATACGGTAGCCACATTTAGGAAAGGATCATGCTAATGGCTTTATTTTTCACAATATTATTGGTATTTCTACGCATGCTAATAGCTTTCTTTTTCACAATATTATTGGTATTTCTACAATAAATAAAAGGTAAATAAAATACTATACATTTTACTATGCTACACGCTTACTACATATACTATACTAACCGTGAAGACGAACATCATTCAATTTAAAGAAAAAACTTTCACTAGAATGAGCCAGATTTTCATGTACATTCTGTTGTGAATTATCAGTTTTATTATGGGTGATATTCTCATTTTCTTCCTCAGAATCATTAGAATCATATTTAAATGGATTTTTGGTCCATTCTTTTTGTTTGTGTTTATTTAAAGTTATAGCACTGTATGTTTCTCCCGTTTCTTTGTCATCTGAGTCTGAAACACATTCATCAGAGCAACAATTAGTTCTATAACAGGTCACAGCACAAGAATTTTAAAACCAAGGTACTGACAGTACACTACTACTGTCAATAATTAGCAAATATGATTCAAGAATAAAAATTAAAAATTGAATGTTTTCCCTCCATTTTAATGTAACAGATGAATATATCTTCATGAGAATATTTCTCAGGAAATGGTGTATGTATTTTATCATATTTTCACATGTCACTTTGAAAATAATTTGACTCAGTTAACTCACAAAATTTTAACTTAAAGATTTGTTTAGAAACCTCAATAAATACGGAACAAATGAATGAGAGTCGTTGCAAAAGTTTTGAGACATGAATTAAGTAATTAATTAATTTGTTTGCCACTGAAGATGACTTCTTGAGGTAGAAACGTGTTTGTCACCAAGTGTCTTTTCAAGTGTAAACAGTTTTGTTTGAATGCATGATTTTATGTATCAATACATTGCATGGTATGCAACGTTTCAAGAATCCAGTCTACATTTCTCAGACTTCTTCCTGATTCAAACAACGTTAGTTTTCAAGGCATGATAAAGCACTAGTTGCTTATAAAGGGGTGTGCAGTGGTTCCATAAAAGGAATAGTGTCACTGCTTTCAGAGTTGATCCAGAGGTATGGAACTTCTCACAAAATGAAGGTTTGAATACAATGAAATATGTACTTAAAATAAAATTATCACTGTTAAACTACCCGTGTCTCAAAACTTTTCTATTGATTTACATATACTGTACATTCTTCACTAAATTACAATTACTGATAAAAATTGGGAGAATTCTAACAGATTAAACACACAATATATCCAATTGTGTAACTGAATACAATGATGAGACAAACCTCCATCACTGGCACCAAACAATTTACGAAGGCTAAACTCATTTTTTTCATCTCGTTTCTGAAGTGTCTCCTTTAGAGATTTTGCTACTTTGTAAAATTTTTCCTTTGAAACAGCAACATTTTGTATTTTTTCCTCTTCTGTATCACAAACTACTTTTGGTTCCTTGTCTGTTGATGCAACATTTTGTATTTTTTCCTCTTTTGTATCATAAACTACTTTTGGTTCCTTGTCTGTTGAGTTATCAGGAACCTTCCTCTTTATTTTGGGTTCAGTTTTTTTCTCAAATTTAGCATGGTCAGGTTTTGTAGGATCAAATCTGAGCATTGGAACCCTTCTGAAAATCAAAAGCATGTATTACAATTACTGATGCTTGTTTTTCATAAATATACATTCAGAAAGTTGTTTTAACATAACTTTCAAGTAGATTATCTTATTAAATATAACTTAAAATTATGTTTTAATACACAAACTTTGATTTGTCTTTCTTGTCCTCTTTAATTGGTATCGGATGACCAAGGACATCTTTTAATATTTCAAACTGTCTCCTTCTCTCATCTTCAACTCTAGCAGTTTGGACACTGTCCGATGCTTCAGCACAAACTTCTTCATCACTCTCATAAAACCTTTCATCCAATGCAAATCTGTTGTCACTTGCAAATCGAGACTGTAGTTCTAGAAGCTGAAAACGATATTATTATAAAACACTGTGTGAAATAAAAATTGAAAGTAAATCAGTATATATGTCTTCCAAAAATACATAAAACAGCAATTAACTTCAATATTATTAACGCCCAATTTAAATTATATGCCATGATATTAGGCAACATTTGAAGACAATACTACAAGGAAGATTAGAAACTTTAGGGATGCAGTGATATGAACATGCATTAGGCATGGACAACAATAGGATTTCTTTTGAGAGCATTTAGAATTAAGATTACAAATAAATTACCATTGGGGAAACCAAAGACAAAATTAAATATCTGCAGCAGCCTTAGAGGTCTCAAACCTTTTCAGAAATCACTGGCCTATGTCAGGGGTGAAAGCATTATATACTGGAGATATGAAGCACATTTGTAATTATTTCTTCAGTTCCTTAATAGGATGGTCATTTTAACTTCAGGGTCCACAAATCACCCTTTACCCATCTTTGGCATACCAAAAGTACTGTGCTAAACAACTTTCTCCAGATGCTTAGCAAAGGCAACTAACACAGCAAAATGAGGGTCTTTGTTACATGGGATTTATATGTGCATTACAGATCATGCATAAATGCATTATACCAAAATTTCATAATATGGATCAAAGGTCTGGCAGATTTTAACATAGTTCTGTAACTAGTATCACATGATAAATTACTGTATTTTAAGTTATTACCTTCTGTCCTTTAACACCTTCAAACTGAGGCTTAACTTTTAAGTTTCCTTCTTCTTCAACATCTGAAGAATCTTCAAAAAGAATCGTCTTTTTGTATGACTTTCCCAGCAATTCAGCATTAGAAGATTGAGAGATATTATGAGAAATTGTTTGTTTAACTGTATATGGAAAACATGTTTACTCAACTGGGGTATGCTTGTCCACTATCATTCTACTCAAATAATCAGTAATATTACTTAACTCATTAACTAGATTCTTAAAAATGTTGTCAAACATTTAAATAACTACTTTTGAACAAAATGAGTAAATTCCATGACAGAAAATCACTTCTGTATTTCACACTTTTGATGGATCAACCATCTTACCTTCCTTCTTCCCCATTCTTAGTGAATCAAATTACCTGAAACATAAAAAGTGAAAATTACAAAAAACTAGAAAAGTAATTACACCATCACTAATCAACATTATTAATCTTCAATTTTGATACCCATATCATTTATTCATTAGGTCAAGTTAATTCTATGTACTTTAACATCAGCAATGCTTTTGACCTTATTCCACGTCTTACTTAATGGTTACACAATTTTATTTCATAGTTCCTTAACCAAGAGATACTGAATGTCCATTATTCTGGAGCTCTATTGTCACCTTATGGTGTACTACAAGGATGTTTTGAGGGCATAGCTTTCTGTTATTAATGATTTATGTAATGTAGTTAATTTTTTAATTACCTTATTTCTGTTGAAAACATTAAAATTTTCCATGGCAAAGTCTCATGCTTGTTCTCGACTTCAATCTAATATAAACTCTGTAAGTGGTTGGTGCACTGCAAATTTGGTCTTTGAGTACAAACTTTGTGAATCTTACCCTGGTCATGCAAATGAACCTAATCTAACAAATCAGAAGCCAGTATAAATTCATGTTCAAACTCCAGATCTGAAATGGATCAGATGTTGATTCCAAATCACATGCTCCTTCAGGCGCTGATACAATTCCAAAGTAAAAGCCCTCTTAACCAAAATTAACCATATTTTTACATCTCCATACTGGTGTATTGTATGTACTGACTACAGCCTAACAACTCTGATCATAAAACAAACTGTCTGCTTTATTCACAAGAAATGTTTAATCTACAATATGTTAAGACATCCTAAGGGGCTATTTTACCATTGTGTTTACCAAAACAGAATAATAAATGACACATGTCACTGAAAAGTGTTAATTATATTAGAATGAAGTTAAAATTTTCTGTAATGCATAGTTAACCCTTAAAATAAAATTTGGCATAATCAATGATGCAAATAAAATTAAAATTACTAGAGACTACAATAAAAACTGACAATCATAAATTCAACCACATTCTTCTTCAATCCATTCATATACATACAGCTAACATTAACCATTATTTTCCTTCCTTTGTTATTTTACTTACATATAAACACATTATTACATTCCTTAGATCCATAAGTTAGACACATGACAATCGGATGTGTAAAAAGTAATAAAATATACAATATTTACATATAAATAAAGATTTCACATAAAGTAATAAACTGTTTCAAATAAATCCACATATACACAGCATTATATTATTGGGGATCATAAGTGTGGGTTCCATCGTAATAGATCTACAACTGATCAAATGTTCTACATTCGTAAGAAACCAGATAAAAAGTGAAAAGTGGGAGTACAATGGGACAGTACATCAACTATTTATAGGCTTCAAGAAAGCATATGACTCAGTTAAAATAGAAGCTCTTTACAGCATTTTGCTAGACTTTGGTATGTCGTATCCCTGGCAGGGAATTGCTGGGCCCTTGATTCCCTGCATCAGGATTCGAACTGAAGATCTGCACAGCAGTTGCAATCTTGTTTGATGGCCTTGGAGCTATTGAGTAGGGCAGCGTTAAGGGTGAAAGCCCAAGAACAATCTACAATCGACTACGTAGATTCCTTTAATAATTAATAGCAATAATGAAGAAGATGATACAGTAGTGGTAGTTGTGCCGAGACGCTGGATCCTTGATTGCCACAACCAAATCGTGAAGACCGGTGACAGTGTGACTGCCTCCGATAATGTGTGA